TGGTGCTCCCCAAGGAAAGGTAGATGAGGTAACCCAAAGGCTTCTTCAATATGGTATTGCTAATGATCATCTCTATGTTAGAGAGTTTATAGCAGATAGAGAGCGAATAAAAGACATACTGTGTGAAGCTGATCTTGCCATCATGCCATCGAAATCAGAGGGATTTGGTTTGGTTGGCCTGGAAGCGCTGTCTGCTGGTTTACCCATCCTAGTGGGTAGTAGGTCAGGATTTGCTAAAGCACTTGAGAAAGTACCTTCTGGAAAATCGTTTATCGTATACTCTGATGACCCTACAATGTGGGCAGATGCAATTGTATCTGTTCGTGACAAACACAAATCGAGGCTTGATGAGATCAAAGCATTGAGAGAATCTTATGGACAAATTTACAGCTGGAGGAGTCAGTGTAAAGATCTTGCCAAAGTAATGCAGAAAATGATTCAAGGTATGATGATATTTTTCCTCCTTGAATTTGCCAAGAGCTGTTATGACCCCTTCCCTACAAAACCAACAACAAAAACGTCAAACAAACAAACGGTATCAAACACTCTAGTTATCGCCACGTCTCAGTTAAAATGTTCACTGATGGGTGTGTGCAATCTATCTTTTTGCATTCTTCAGGTTATTCTCATACCGATGTTGATATGACGGAAAAAGACAAACACAACTCTGATACCGAAAGAAGAATGTACCAGGACCGCCTATACGAGCCATGCGAAAGGCCGATGAAACTAAGAAGTCATCAGAAAAGCGAAAGTGATGATGGCGTGACTACCAGGTTAAGTGACCCAGATCAAAGAAGTGGAAAAACTTCTGGGCGTATTCCAATGCTTACGTCTCGCAAAGGTAAAGCACTTCATTATTCTTGAAAAAGAGGTTAATAAAAAAATAACACAAAACTAAACAATGTTCAATTAAGGCGTTCGCTTCTGACAGCTCTGCTTTGAACAAGCATGCAATTAAGGCTTTTTCTTTGGGTGCCCTAATATATATCTCTCTCAAGGATGGCGCCACGGCAGTGGGAACATACGCAAGCACCTTATGCCTGTCCTCACAAAAGTCCTGCATTGCGGGCTAGTCTTAAATTAATAATACATTTTCTTCTTAAGATGAGTCTTTTTGCAAATGTTCATTTTACTTTATCAAATAATTAAATAAATTTCTAACAACACGAAATAACTGGAAATATGTAATGACGTTGATTTGTTCAGGGACGTCAAATGTAGATGTTGAGAAAACAGATCCAGACTCCATTTCTGAAAAACAACTTGTTGGATTCACGCGGCGAGGGGGACCCTCAAGCCTTCCTTCAAGAAAAAGAACGAGTTCTGCATCCTCGAGTGAAGAACCTTCCCAAAGATTTTCGCACTCATCTCCCGTATCACGTAAATACCTTTGGGTTACTTTTCTCATGATAATTTGCGTTTGAAGAATAGTTGTAAATATGCGTTGATTGTGTTACCGGCTACATTTTACAAGCATATCTAAGGGATTTTGTTAAAGACAGTTATTAATAAGTCCCTGTCCTGTCGTTTTTTGTTTGTCTGTTTGTCTGTTTGTTTGTTTGCTTTTTTGTGTGTTTTGCTCAATATACGCGCCATGGAACTTACCGCCGGTAACGGTTTTGCTATAGATTGAATAAAAAAGTCACAAATACAAGACGAAAAGTTATACAACCTTCCTTGATGAAAGGACAGGATCAATAGTTTTCCTGGTACATTTTGTCCATCTGTTCATTCTTTAGCGTTTACTAATTTGTTTTCGAGAAACATTTAACCTGATTTTCTTTTATCCGGGTGATTCCCCTTGATATGATTACCAGTTAAATTCCCTGGTAACTCTTAGTTCCATCTTTGGACTCTGGGCCAGCCAAAAAACCATGTTTGGCACAGTTCACATCAGAGTTGCCACAATTGTTCGTGTAAAGTTCACCGAAGCAAGGATATTTCCTTCGAAGCTTACCAGTTTAGGTCCGTTAGCCTTTCCCAGTAAACTCTTGTCAAAATAATGTTACAATCCAAATAATGGCTCTTTGAGACACGTCTACCTGCCGCCGTAGTTTAATTATCTTCTTGAACTTATATGTAATCTGTTACTTTATGTTTGCAATTCTGTGATCTCATTATTCCGTTATCTCTTACTACGTTAATTCTAGTTTCTAACTTTAGGTACCCCGGCCACCACGATACTTCTTAGAATCTCTGCTCAAGATTTGGATTTTCAACAGCAGGAAATATTTTACGATTCGATGCGGCACATGCTTTTACTCACAGACTGCTTAATGTCTGATGAGCTGGGTCTTTTCACTGGCTATTTCACAGAATATTACAAGGCACGTGTTTTCCTACAAGAGGTCACAGATAGAGGTGTAGAAATAAAAATTGAGTGCCCAAACATGGAAAGTCTTGCCAGTATACTGAATCACCACCAATGTCGTCATCTGGACAAACTAGTTGAAAGGTGCTTCGTAACTGATGCCATCAAATCAGTACTAAACCTAGAGACAGTAACACTGAAAACAGTCTTAGAAGATGAGTCGCGCTACACGGAAATGCTAGGTAAGTTAAATTTCTTTCTTAATGATAGTATGAACATTTGTAATGTACAGGAATCGTTGGACAAAAAATGGCATAGCAAGCATCAAGTCTTAAACTCGGCTGATCATGCAACATTCAGGTGGTCGTCCGTATTTTTGTTTTTGTTTGTGTTTGCTTTTTTGTTTGTTTTGTTTTGTTATTTTTGTTTTCATTAAGGCAATCGAAGCATACAAACTTCATAAGCTTAGGGAATGGACAAAAAGTATAGGGGGTAGGGGGGAGATTATTTGGACTGGAATGAAAATAAAACTTTTTTTTGGAGAAACAGCATAACACAAAACTACAAAACTGGCTGCGTGAAATAAATAACGAAATTAGAAGAGGTGCTGAATAAAATCGCAAAATGAAAGACAAAACAAAACACAATTACAGATATGAGGATTTCACCAGTATCCGGCGTCACCGTCAACCATGATTTTGCTACTCAAAAAGCAGCAGACTGTTTTGCTTATTCAGAAGCAATTATTTTACTAAAGGAAGAATTACAGTCGAACCAATGGCCAATGGCTGTCTCTTTACAACGGGCTCTTTTTTTGTCCCCGCGAACAAATAACCCGTACATTAACTATCTCGTCGACAACGGCCACTCTCTTCTATCCTCAAGATGGCCATTGTGGAGAGGTTCAACGGTACATACGTGTAACATCGCTTATCATCAAAAGCCAAAGATTTACATTATGCCAGTTTAACGAAATGTAGTCTAGCGATGCCTCTAGAACAATCTTGACTCATCCATTATAATTTTCATAAATAATGTAACTTCAGCTCAAACAATTACCCTTGTTAAACCATGTTAAACATAGACTATTATCGAGCAATATTGCATTCCAGGGTTAATTAACTCCATGTTGCTGTCTATACTAACTGTGGCCAACTATGCCATTAGTATAGTATAATAAAAGATACGTGTGTATTTCTGTCGTAAAACAGGATGTCCAACCCCCAAGGGTAGCTGAAAATTTGACGACCCATCCCAAACACAGGGCGCAAAAACTGATGTGCCAGCCGCTCACTGCTCCGACCCTTTCTCCCCAATGCTTTTTGACCAATCCTTAATAAAACGAACCAAAAAAAACACTTATAAACAGACACGGTAAGGTACCAATCTGTCAAACAAACAATACCAGTGAAATACTTCCCGACCGAGAATCTGAACTGTCTTTAGTGCAAATTCTTTCAAAGGCCAGGAAACTAGACATTGTAGACACTGATATAAAGACGAGTTAACAAGTTGTTATTTGAAAACTCTGCTCTTCGACTGTGGGGGTGATTTTTCATCCTTTCTATCGCAAAACAGGAAGGCAATAATAGTCATCTTGTTTTTCTTTTTATTATTATATTTTTTTATCATGTTTTTAACAAAGTGTTACCTGAAAATGCTTGAAAGGTAGCTAGTATAAAAACTAAGAGTGCAACCATTGCTTTTTTCTCTTCTCTTCTCCTTTCCTCTCCTCACTCTTTCTTTTCCTCCTTTCCTTTTCCTTCGTTACTGTGATTTTGGAGCCTTTCGCGCTTAAGTAACCTGCCTTTTGAAGCCTTTTCACCCAAATGATTGCAAATTTCGTTGGGCTGGTTTTCAAGAAATCGGTTAGATATACATCTATGTAAATTATGCTAATTTTTTGAAATGTTATGTTAAACCAGGGAAAGCAGACATTGTTCAGATTCCATCTAAGGAAAACCAAGAAGATGACGCATCCAATAGCACAAAATGTATCGATATCAACCCAAAAATGACGAAGGTAAGATCTCGTTTTTCTTTTGCTACCGTTTTATTTTGCACTTTCAACTCTCGGAGACCTCTCTAACTGACACGATATCCCAATAATATGAGCAGTGGCTTAAGTTCGAGGAAAATTAAAGGAACTTTTGGTCACACGGCGCTTTAGTTTGTAAATTTACAAGCATTTTACACAAATTTCCGAGGAACCCTTACTAGCATCCATGATCATTACGAACTCTACGATATACACGTAGCTGATTTTATCGCTCATCAGTTACGAGATTCCTCAGGAGAATTAATTTTACTGTGAAGAATTAGGCATGTTGTCACCTGAGGTGCATTTTCTTGCAGATTTTTTGGTTATTTCTGACGAAAGCCAACATCAAATGAAAAAAAAAAAGGCCAAGAGTCCTTGACAGTAGATCAGATTCCCAAAGTGATTCTTAGGACTGAAAAATGAACGTTTGATTTCTGCCTTTTTTTCCTTCTTTTAGTGGAGAGGAGGGGGGTATGTACGTGTGCGCGAGGTTGTTTGTGGTGTGTCCATTGTTTTGCATGGTTGATTGTTGTTGTCATTGTTGTTCTTTTCCAGACTACAAGAGGTCTCTTACACAAAGCTTCCATCACTGGAGATTGCAATACTGCAAGGGCACTACTTGAAATTGGTGTGGATGTTGACCAAAGAGATCAGGTTGTTATATATTTTTAGTTCATATATTTATTTGCTTAACGTGTATTCTATTCATTAGTCAACCTTGCCTGTAATGTATTTCCTTTCTTCTTTTTCCTTTTTTGAGAGTTGGAGCCGGGGATGGTAAAAAATTCCTCTTATGGCCATTTCTTTATATTTAACTTTGTTGATTTCGCAAGAAAAGTCATTTTATTTACAATCGCGGTCTTGATACCTATCCTTTAAATGAATGTTATGCTGAGGTTATTTGAACACCTTGTTTTTGTTTTCTTACGGAATTTTTCTTTGAAAAATGCTATTCGCTGTAACATTAGAACAACGTGACTTACATAAGAAAACAGAAAGGGCTGTATCAAAATACGCCCAACCCTAGTCCCGTTTCCATCTACTGTTAATGGGCTGTTGTCGTAGGTGAAAATAAGTATACTTTGAGAATGAACTCGTTTTATATTGTCATCATAAAAATTTTGTCCAGCGGTATATCGTTGCTTTTCCTGTAATTGTTTTTATAGTTTGCTTTGACTCCTCTTCATCTTGCTTCCTGGTACGGACATAAATCAGTAGTGAAACTAGTACTTAATCACGGTGCAGACGTTAACGCTTTGGACAAGGTAAGCTAAATACACGTATTTACTTACACATACCATACCTGTTCCCAGGTTCCAATCTTTACTCGTTTTAGTTACTGAGTGTTTTCGTTTCTTCTATTAATGATCAGTTCTCCCAATAATCCAAAACTAGTTTCCGGCACGAAAATGAACGCAAATCAGTAACAAACTAAGATTTATGTAAAGAAGACGAAAAAGATCGAGGGTTGGAGGAAAACAGATAAAGATATTTTGCATGACGCTTTTCTTCAATATGATAACGATGATGATATTGATGATGATGTTAATTACGATGATGATGACGATGACGATGACGATGATGATAATGATGATGATGATGATGATGATGACGATGATGATGATGATGATATGAAATATAAACATATAATTCCGTTATTTACCCTCGGCAGTACAGTCAACTCCCTTTATTGCGGACACTGTGGGGACCTCGAGTTAGTGTCCTCATTAGTGAGAGTCCGTAATAGCGGGAGTTTATTTCAGTCAAACGTCTGTAATTTATTTTTGCCGGGGATTTAGCTGCTGTCCGTTTTATCGGGGTGTCCGTTATAGCGGGGTGTCCGTAAGGCGAGAGTTGACTGTATTTGTAGCACAAATGCCAAAAGGTCCGAGCAAAGCCGGAGGCAATCCAGCCAGCTATTTACAAGTATGGCCGAGGCTTTGAAATCGGTCAGATCGGGACTTGGTCTCGATGATGATGATGATGATGATGATGACCAAGATAAAATTCATTAGTTTGCATGAAACTACACAGGAATTCAAATGTTTTTTACTTGCATGAGGCTATTAATTCGTTGTTTACACTGATTCGATTTCAAACAGATTTCATACGGCATAATCGCTGTACATTCACTGACGAAGAACACTTCAGTAATCATCCATTTACCACTAATGGTAGGAAAAGGAGAGAATATCGTACCCATACTCATCCCTCCTTGTATTCCTGAGTTTGAGAGCAGAGAAAACCCCTTTCTTATTATTTGATATTAACCAAAGCAGTAAGAGTGTACAATGAACTGTCTTTTACTATCTGCAGTTTTGTCGTACACCACTACAGAAAGCTGAACGCCACAAGTACCACTCCATAGTGACGCTGCTTCTGGAGAGTAACGCAAGACAAAGCTACCAACAACCGGTATTGATATTACCTCCCTTTTTTGTCTTTGACACTTTACAACGGCAATAAATGTTTTCTGTACTTTTACGGTTCTTTGGCCTTTTTTAGTTTGCTTCAGGGTTGTTGTGAGCAAGCAAAATGGAATCGCGTTTTTTAAAGTTTATCCCATCTTCAAAGTGTGATTCCAGACATGAGTAATGCAATTAATTTGTAATTTTAATACACTTGATTTCAGGTTAGTCTACAATTTCTTGCACAGAACGCTTTTTTGACTTTGGATAAACGATCTGGTTTAAACATGCTACAGGCGGCTGTCTTTCAAGGGGACCATGCTACAGTTTTTAAAGCGAAGGCCTTACTCGGTTGTAGCCGTTTTGTGACTGAGATGAATTTGAAAACAAGAGGAGACGGTGATACAGTTTTCCACGGAAAAAGTGCGATTGATTTTCTTTCAAGTCTGGACGAGAAAGGGAAAGATCTTGCCAAAATAGAGAAGGAGTACCTCGCAGATGTTGAAAAAGACCTCACACTGATAGAGCTACACCGTATAAATGATGGAGAACAAGCGGTAGAACTTGTATTAAACAATTGTATTGACATTGACACCCCTGGATTGTGCAATCGCACTCCTTTAATGATAGCAAGTTTATCATCCTCTAGTGCGTTTATTGAGACTCTCATTGATCTTGGCGCTGATGTCAATGCTCAAAGAACCGATGACAAAGTGACGCCCCTTCATTTGGCGTGTAGTTGGAATCACTACATGGCTGTTCGCTTACTAATGGAGAATGGAGCTGATGCTAATATAGCGTGTGATGGTGGCTGGTCACCACTGCACATAGCTACGAGTAAGGGAAATTTCAATGTGGTAAGGCTTCTGATTGATGGCGGGAGTAGCATTGACCTTTTAACCGAGACAGGAAGAACACCTTTGAGAATGGCGGTCGAAAGCAAGCATTACATGATCGCGCGCTTGCTTTTAGATCATGGCGCTGATGTGAATATCCCAGATATTGATGGGTACACACCATTTCACTGCGCAGCGAGTCAGGGTTGTAGTTTGACTGCAGAGCTTTTAATTGAGAAAGTCAGTAACGTTAATCTGAGAACTAAGAGAGGAAGAACTCCTCTTTACATTGCAGTGAAAAACCAACATGAACAGCTAATCAAAATGTTACTTGAACACAAAGCTGATGTGAGTATGGGATACAGCGAAGACACGGAAGAAAGGATTTACCTTGTTCGCGGAACCGACAGAGGTAAACCAGCTTGGCACTATGTTCTGGTAGACAAACATTTACTAGGCTTGTTTCTGAAGAAAACAAAAGGAGGTCGTGTTGACGTGGTAGATTTTGGAACTGTTCTTGGCGGTGGGTGGGGTAAGGATCCTTCAGCCGGTACCATTGACCAGATACTAAAAGAGAAGAGTGCCATGTTCGAAGAAATACCTGGTGAGAGTCTTCTTCATGTGGCATCTAGAAATGACGATACCGTAGCAATCGACTTGCTGGTAAAGCACGGAGTTTGGAATCTTAACCCCCGCGATGCAGAAGGTTTCACTCCACTGCACATTGCAGCGATTCACGGTAACATGCAAGCTGTAGAAAAGCTTGTTGACCTTGGAGCTGATGCCGGTCAGGCTGAGGCCGTGGCGGACCTAGCTCAAATAAACGAAGAATATGACATTGAATCTTTTCTCAGGTCCAAGATTGGTTGTTTGCCAGAAAGAAAGAAAAGAGAGCAGGTCAAGGAAACAGAACAAGTCGAGTTAGATGTTAATAGACTAAGAAATTTTTTTAGAGAAGCTAGCAATATAGGTCGTGAAGTGGTTCAACTTGCCGTTGAAAGCATACACAGAGCTATTACATAATTCGTAAAGTACAATTCATATTGCCATTAAAACCAATTTTACAAATAAAGTTCATGTTGCCGTGCGTCTGTTAATTCACAGGTCACAGACGCGCGCTCAAGGTAAGAACAGTAGGAGTGGTACGCGAGCCGCATGCGTCACGGATGTTTTTACCATATCCAAACGACTTCTGTGATCTGTTGCTGAACATACGAACGGCAAAGTGAAATCTATTCTTTTAATACAATGAACAGTAAAAAGCGGGGGCGGGGGGGACCCATAGCTGTTCCATGTATAATTGTTTTTGTACCGAAAATACGCCGAAGTTAGTCAAGCGTTTAGAAGGAGCATAGTGTCGTCTGTAGGTAGTGGTAGTTCATATATAGCGTTCTCAGAGCGGTCCAGAGCAAGTTAAAATAAAACACTGGTGAACAATGTTTTCACATCATGACACGCGTTTGCTCGTCAGATATCTGTATTATCTTGATGGCATTAATAAAGTTTTCAGTAGACTTTATATTACGTCTAGATTCGTCTGCAGTCAAAGGTTTCAGTTATAAGAAGTTAGGAAGGAACCCACAGAATAAAACCATGGGTCGCATTTTTTCGATTTGGTAAATGGAACCTGAAGCTAAGCACAACTAAAATAATTTCGCAATTCTTTGGGTTCTATTTAATCATGTTGGACACATTCCACGACACTAGAGTTATCTTGGATGCCACCTTTTTTGATAAGTATATTTATATTGGATACACTAACAAACTGCATTTAGATAGACACGAATGGCTCTGTATGTCGACTTAAGTCCCAGTTTATCACTTACACTTACAGGGCAACAAAATCAATGAACGAGGTCCATTAAAAATGATCTTCAATTTCTGGAATCACATTCAGTTCCTGATAAGCAGTGGTAGTCTCATTACTTTTTCTTTGCTGGCTCTTGCGACACATGATATCGTCTGGGGCTTTGGGATATTCTCCATCCCAGAACAAGTTACGGGTCCATACATTCATTTGGGTGAACTTGGTCAGCTGTGAAAGCAAACAGAATTTAAGATGAAGTTTTCTTGCTAAACAAAGCGGATTCAATGATAATAATTCCGAAAGTTACAAACGAGATCACAGTTCTTAAAAGCTCCAAGTATTCCAATCGCTCTTTCCAAATTAGAGCTACAGTGGCGCGGGAAAAGGGTCGAATTTGTTTGGGTGGGATAAAAGGAAGGAATACAATAGCCTGAAGAAAAGACGTTATACAGTCAACTTTCTCCTTGCGCACCCCTCTATCTGACGGACACCTGGTGTTGGTCCCTGCCGTTTTATAAGACGGACAAAGGACACTTGAGAAGTGCTTTATGCAGGGAAAGATACCTCAAAACGGAGCTGCAGGTGCATTTTTTTTAAATATTTCCTAGTTTTGTCCAATTTATAGAGTTTTAACTGTTACGCTTTTAGACGAAGCCGTGGACGTTTGCTTGTACTGACATTTGATTGCACAATAAGAAAATAATTCCACTTTTCTGTTACTATGTTACATTTCTAGCCGTTTTGCATAAGTAAAACAGATGTGTATTAATTGCGAATTTCTAAGACGGACAGCACGGGCCGGTCCTGAAGGCGTCCTTCCTAGAAAGACCTGACTGTATTTCATTTCTTTTTTTCTTTCTTTTTCAGGCGGTCAAGGGCAAGTGCGAAGTTTTTGTCAACTCACGCCCCACTCCCACCCATCCCCTTCCTCTACGCCCTCCTCCTTGCAGTTAAAGGCAAACGACAGGTTGCTATGCCCGCTTTAGTGAGTGATTTGAACTCGAATCAATACATGTATGTTTCTAAGGATATGAAAGTGAAGGACTACATTTTGCAGTTTGCGGCTTCCTATGAAAAAGCTGAGTTATAATTAAAACCTGAGCGCGCTATAATATACATTGTGGAATGTCAAAATACTATGGCTAAGGAAGCTACTAACATCAAGATCTTTGCAGTTCGTGGTTGTAAATCTATTTGCATCACACGCCAGATCTTTGTCCACTGGTATCTTCAGCTCGTAAATACCAAACGGGCTTTGGCATTCCTCCATCCCCAGCAAAGCGTCTTTATTGTGACTTCCTCGCTTGTTAAAGACGTGATTACACATTGCTACCCAGCGAGAGTCATCCTCGGTAACACAATATGATTCTGGCAGGAAAAAAAGTAATCGTCTTGGTGTTAATAATTCTGAGAGTGTATACACTAAAATAATATAACTATTAAAATTAGCTCAGCTTCATGTCGCTTAAATTGACGTACATGTAAAATTCGCATGTTCACCAAATAACTGATGCACCACTACCGAACGTCGATCATAATCCACCTCCCCTTATACCGCCAACTACTTATAGTGAGATAAATATCCTGACATTTAATTTAAATGCCATTTTTCACCTGTGTTCTTGTCTTTCCTTTTCTTGCATTCCTTCACGTCACTCAGCGTAAACCTATTAAACTTGATGGTCCTGTATGAAGCCACGGGCTGGTAGTATTGCTTGATGAGATTTTCCTCAGATTTGTCGGCAGGTACGCGGAAGAACGAGCCACTGAGATGGCGCAATTTTAGATAAATCTTCTGTGGAACAGTGTCTGGTTGATCCTCCTTACCAAGTAACTCGATGTATATCTAAAGGGTATATACAATGATGGTATTTGTTGCACCAATGGCCGAGGGGATAGTTATTAAAGCATTTAGTGTTTAGTAAACCAGTGGAGCTCCGATTGGCTACTCAAATTAGGAATATCCGAGTGCCGAGCGCTAGTAGGAGCCATAATCTCTTGGTGCTTTTCACTGATTCACCTCCAGCTCCCCAAGCGAGCGACGCCAAACTCGCGTAAGTTAACAGCAAAACGGCTGACGGTTTACTGCCGGTTTTGAGGTTTAAAAGTGGTTTGAAATACAAAAAAAACTCGCAACTCCTTTTGAAGAAATTTCTCCAAAAGAGCTAAATAAATGCCTTCAAAAAGTTTATTTGTCGGTAAGGAAACGCAACGGCCTTTCCGCCATTTGCGCGCTAAAACTGTAATCTTCGGTGGTAGTAAGTGAGATGAAAATCATCATTTTTTTGCTCAGTTATCTCACATTGACCTTGCCAGGTCCTTACCTTAAGAAGTCGTATATTAAAGCATTTTTCACAGCCTTGGTCAATATTAATGAAAAATCGTGTATATCCTTTTGAGGCGAGGTCTTCAAAAATCTAAACCAGAGATAAAGGAATAATGTTAAACAAAGAAAAGAAAGTCGGAAATTCCTACTTCAACAGTATGGTACAGTAAAAATCCGCGATTATGAAACTACATTTTCCCAAGTTAGCCTAAAAAGGTTCCTTTATACAGTGGTAATTTTATTTTCTGAAGAAAATAAGAATTGGAATCATTTGCGAAAAATCCTTTGACACTGTTGAAAAGATAGAGTGCCTTAACATTAGTAAACTTTCCAAAATGACTTTGTACGTGATATGTCTAAGGCGAGCGAAGATACAGCTCCCCAAGTCACGAAATTTTACAGACGTTTGTATAGTGAGGGCCACCCATCATAAAACGTTTGTAAAAATTAATTTCGCGACTTTGCGGAGCTATACCTTATTTAGTTTCACTTTCAACCTTGGCAACTTAACTGCTGAACCATGCTGGCGGATTTTTACTACATGGTCTTGGTCAAAAACTGAAAAAAAAAACCTTGGACGGGTGTACTTGGTATGCAAATTTTATACAGCTATTTCGAAAAAGGCTATCGAAAAAAAAAATGCGCACCCGACAATCCAGAAAGGTAATGTGGAATATGATCAATACGCTGTTCCTGACGAAAATCCTTCAATAATAGGCTTACAGAGTAATAGAGTGAACTGTTGGCTGTAAAACTACAACAAATTTAGTCGTAAGGCTTTAAACCTGAAAAATGAAAACCGTTTACTCAATCATTAGCTTTTAAAATATATCTTTTTTTATCAGATTTCTCTTAGCCGCAAGGGTGAGAAAAATTTATATATATTAGAGCTGGACTTTTTATAACCTTACAGCCATAATAGACCTCTCCCCTCAAACAGCCTTTTTCTTTCAAAAACTCCAGAGAAGTCAAAATAAAAACTATGAGTGCAACCACTGCTTTTTTTTCTTCTCCTCCTTTCTGTCTCCTCGCTCTTTTTATTTTCCCTTTCCTCGTTTTTTTCTAGCAGGATTTTCGGGCTTATTTTGCCGTCGGCTTTTGGTCTTTTTCGGAAGAAGGCTATAGTCTAAGAAGGTTTCTTTAGTGTATAACAGTATAGTTTTTTATTTGTATAAGAAATAGTGTTTTAAGTCTTGATGAGTTGACCCTGTTTAAATAAAGTTATTAATTCATTTAGTGCCAAGTATTTATGAATATTCTAGCTTATTACGTGCAAAAACACGTTTAGCCTTGTTTCGTTGCCTTAATTGCTGGCGAAAAGAGGAGCCCGCAGCCTAGTCTTGACTTGATCAGCGGCACTTTATTAACTGTATAGTGCGATTTTTCTCAATCTGTCCACATTCTTGAGATTCCTGAGTTCTTCCGAAAAATATGCATGTCATGTGGCTGCGAAGGCCCTGTTGTTGAGTTTAAGGTCTGTGTGATGTCACGGTAATCACGTTAATGCACATGCAAGTGATGCAACAATCATTATTACATTCGATTGGCAAGCACACGTAATTCAGGAAAACAAGTAGTGTACTAAATGAGAGAATTTTCAATTCGCCTTGCCGGCCTGGAATCTATTTACCCAGGAAAATGAAAGTAGAGCCTGATCTCAGCTTAGTCCTGGACAAGTTTTCAGTAAGATAAGAGTGTTAGCAAATTCAAGAAATCGATGTACGTTTATTCAGGTTTTACTACACAGGTGCACCCAACGAGGACATAGTTCAAAACCACTTAAACATAGCACGTTAAACGTATTTTAGTATTTAAACCGTAGATATAGGCATATATTCTATCCCCAAGAAATTTTCCATCTGTTCGGATTTCCTAGCTGAAAGTCTAGTGATCCGAAAATTATAGGGATCAAAACTTACCTTTCCGAAAATTTCAGCCAGAAAAAAGGCTCCCGAAAATTCAAGATGACCTTTTAAGAGTAAAGATCCGTTAAAAATGGGCAATTATACCATTTTTTAGATATTCGAGAATCCTAGGAGAGGCAGGCAAGCAAGAAACTTTACAACAAATGTTCCGAAAATTGTAGATCGCAAATCGTCTTCCGAACAGATATTTTCCGAAAGTTGTCGTTGGGTGCCCCTGACTACAGTGCATGGTTTTTGCAGTTTTATACGTTTCCAAGCATATTACGTCGTTTATCATCCGAGCGTAAGCTGGACACGAAGTGAATATTGGATTGAATTTAAACTTGGATTAATCGGAGCTTAGGGGAGTGCGTTCCACATGTTTGTTAACTATTTATATAACAAAAAAGCTCTTACAGCTGCATTCAGTTTTGCTTGTTTGGAGATTAGATCGGGAAATGGTGAGGCGATTAATTCTACACGAAACAGGATTTAATCGCTACAGGCTTTTTACTTCCTACCTTACCGTACCGACGTCGATACGTTTTATTTGTTTCTGAATTGATTTAGTACGCGTGTTAGCGAAGACCGGAAATACGTCTGCCGCAAGCTATACGCGTTTATAAATACACGAAAATTCAAGGACCTCGATTCCAGAGAAATTACATCATTGCCAGAGATCAAAAAAGTTATCAACATGGCACGTCATTTCAATCATCGCCGAAAATAAATCGAATACTCATCAGAAGATCCATTTGCATACAATGAAAGTTTACAACACCCGACCGTGGCTGTTTTGCTAATTAAAATTCTTATTTTTTTCGACCACTCAGTAGTGTTCACTTGTTCCAAAGTAATCAACGCTTTCAAGCGATAGAATTCGTGGACCGACACGTTTCGGAAAAGCTCTAAATTTAATCTTTCCTAAGTTTCGATTCTAAGTCCCAGTTTCCACGGTCTGCGGAAGGAACGCCTGGCACAATGACCTCCCTTTTGTGTCCTGAATACGACGAAAAACGCGTTGTAGATTATGAGTCTCGCTGCTTACGCAAGCGAGTCTTGTAAAAGTAGCAGTGGGCTAAACCTCTAAGTAAAGTAATGTAAGTAACAACGGGTCAAACGCTGACTATGATCCTAAGAATATTCTTTTGCACTGTAGGATGGTCAACAAAACTGGCTAAAAATTAGGATACAGAAAATTAAAGTCATCTGAAATGCTTATTGATTAAGATGTCAAAGCATCGCGTATCACTTTAAACAATTGTTGCGTTACACTAGGCTAACACGACTCACCTACTTATTAGCACTGTTTTCCAAATACAACGCACCCGGAATTGGAAAAAGGTCAACGTTTCAACAACGCTGTAAATAGCTTTTAAAAGCGAAAAGATGTAATTTGCAATAGAATTAAGTTATGGTCGATCTGAGCTCGTAAATTAAAACAAATGAATTGTGCAGAACACATTGTTGGCATATCCAATTATCTAAGAATGGACGTTTTCCTACATATATAAATATATAGAAAAAGAAACCGAAGTGAACACTGCGAGAAAAACGATAAACAAACCTGCAGTGCATAGAGAATCGCCAATATTCCATCTGTGAACGAGTGTCACAAACAGCTCACAAAATAGTACCAGTTCCCGGATGAGAAGCACCACGCAGCACCAACCATGAAGAAAAAGATGAACAACTTTTTAAGAAGAGGATCAAGAAAAAGATGAAAAACGCTTTTCGAAGACAGGAACACATGACCACGAATCACCACGTGAGTTAGCGCGTCAAAGTGAGGCACAACGTGTGCTAGCGCCTCAAAGCGAGGCAAATGTGTGTCGACACAAATGCAATTTCAGAAATCTAGCCGATTAACTGCACAGGATACCTAACAGAAATTAGGGGCTGCGTTCTCGTATCTCGACCACGATAAGATTTCATGCAGTCATGACTGTAAACATGCATTACTTGTGTCACGCATTACTGTTTAAATGTATCCGTTGCCGGCGAATAAAGCAGTTTCCTCTCTTTTAAAAGTTCTTGAAAAACAACTATTCTATCCCTCAGTCTCAAGCCACTTTTGAATAGAGAAAATGTTAAGAAGAATGTTACGTTACCTTAAAAGATGGAAGGCTTCTAGAGTTATTGCCTACTGGGATGCAACTAGAAAATGAACAGCTAAAAACGCCGTCTACTCCTGATCAGACGACTACTGTTAGCGCATCTTGAAAAATTTATCACTGGAGTCTCACGAGTGGTGGCAATTGTCAAATCAGGTACCACCAGAAATGCATTATTCTTTGAAAATAACTACACGCTTGGAAATTTTTTGCCGGCCACGAAAAGTGTCCCCTTCTCCCTGGTCCTCACTCAGTCTTCTTTAAAATTCTGTGCGGCCATATTGCCAGCCCGCCAAGAGCGAAAATTGGTCAGGCTTTATAGCCGTATGAGAGTGCACTGGTACTAATAAACAATGTTTTGACGAGTGAGACAAAAGCTGCGAAGAAAGAGTTTTTTATCGGTGCCTTGCATGCCTTGTCTTCGAATATTTTGAGACTGGCTTCATGTCGGCGAAGAAAGTTTCTTGCGAGGTTCCTGAGTGAAAAGTCTGGCTAAAGTAAG